AAAAAAATGAATCTAGATATCACCTCAATCAATCTTTGGCCTATAGCTCCGGACAGACTCAGTTGAAATGGCAGCAGAATTCGGATTAATGGTGGAAAGCAATTTCACTATCAAAATATAAACTTGTCTGGTTGGTGCCCTTGTTCTGTTCGAAAATTAAAGTTTTCGCAATTCAAACTTGTCTGGTTGGTGCCCTTGTTGTGTTCGAAAATTGAAGTTTTCGCAATTCAAAATCCAAACAATGGTGTATAAATTGAACACCCAAATCAAGCATTCACTGTTGAGAGTACAAATTTTAAAATTTTTAGGTCAAATAGTTCCAAGGGATAAACGCAAACCTGCTTGTTCTGAGGTTTGAGGGAAAACCCTGCTCTTCTCCGGCTGCTTTCCAGATGTCCACCGCAGCACCGCGAGCCCGACGTCGCTGATCACGGCGACTCCGACGTGCTGCTCCCGGTGAGACACCACAGGAACAACGATCGGTTTGAAAAAAAAATCGAAAAAAAAAAAATTTGGACCATTTCTCGATTTATGCGTGTCATCCTTGCGCAGGGCCATGCTAATCTTCTCTGTATCGTTCCAATTTTATCGGATGTCCCCGAAGGGACGCTACGTCATGTGAGGCTAATTTAATATATAGCAGTGGCAGTTTACGTAGTTTACCGATGTGGTACAAATATGAGTTTTTGTGCTGGAGAATTTTACTTGGGCCGTTTGTGAACTGCTTTGACAATCAGCCCAATATAAGGAGTCTCTCTCTTTCTTCTTAGAATTTACTAGTTTTATTTGGACATTTTAGCAAAATTTTCTACTTTTGGGTTAATTTTTTTCATTTAAGTTTAATATGCTCAAATTTAATGTAATTAAAAAAATGGAATATAATATAAAAAAAAGGTATAAATAGTTACCCATGTAGTATTTAATTTAATTTTATTGACATATAAGTAAATTTTATTTTGTAGTAATTTATTTTCATCAGTTGACCAAAACATTCCTCATAAAAATTATTGTTTGCTTATAAATATATTTTATTTACAACTTTTCTTATACATTTTTATATATATTAAGATTAAATATGCGATACACACACAAGAGAGATTATGGAATATCATAATTTTCAATTGCTGAATAATTTAATTTACCTATTTTTATCCAAGCAATATACTAATAATGTTTTCCTTTCTTTTTTATCAATTGGATATTATTTTAATAGACACATGATTTTAATGACGAAATAATATCCTTCATTTAACCCATTCATCACATTTTATTGATGTTTTTATTTTATCTATATTTTTATTTGTACTAGTGATTGTTTAATGAAGATCTATATTCAGATAATATAGAGTTAAAATACAGTACTATCAAAATTTAAATTATATTTTTATTTAAAATTTATTTACATATAATATAGATTTAAAGTATATATTATCAAAATTGAAATAATATTTTTATTTATTCATTCAATTAATTGATAAAATTATTTAGAAAGTATATAAAGTAACATTTAATAAAAATCTATCGCTTTGAAAAAAAAAAAAAAAACGAGAGCGCGATTTTGAAAAATATGAACCAACCTTTGATGAACCAACTAGTAGATATCCTGTGCAAATGTACAGATGCACATAAAATATTATTAAGTAATATTTGAGAATTTAATATTAAAATTCTAGATAATGAACATATTACATTTTAAAAAAATTGATCATTAAGAAAAATAAACTAACGATTTTATTATTATGAACAATTGTTTATTATCATTAGATAATAACAGTTTGATATTATTATTATTATTATTATTATTATTATTATTATTATTATTATTAAAAATTGTTTATAAGCTTCTAAAGTTGTTTGACTATGCTATTAAAACAATTTACTAATTATTTTCAAAGAATTTTTTCATGAGATACAAAAGAAAGAGATAATATTGATGTTAATATAAATAACTTGAAACAATTGTTTATAATTATGTAATTTATATTTATTGTGAATTATTA